GGTACCGCAGCTAAATAAATCACTTTTCTTCTGAATTGTTACATTTTCTTCACAATTCACACAAAAATGTAGCTATAAATTATGGGGTTCAAGACATAGTTGTATAGGCTGTGTTTATGCATGTTTTATTATTATGTTTTCTGTTTTTTTTTCTTGTCCACCGCTACACCCACAAAATCGCACCGCTCCTACACCAAGTGCGTTATCCTTCGTGCATTCGTATACAGTATGCCTAGAGTTCCTTGTTGTCAAATTGATCTGGGTATGGATTTTTTCAGTAACAAGACAAAGTTTATCGTTAATGTGTGGCACACCCTCTAACAGCACTCAAGTTTTCTTTGTTTTCATAAGCGGAGTAAATTGAATGCTGCACCTTGGTTGCGATTTGTTTTACGAATTTTGGACACATATTTTCTAATGAATAATTATATTTAGATCGAGAAAGATTTCGCACCTTGCGTATACAAAGTGATTCGTGCTGTATACCTCAAAAACGAGGAATGATTCCCATTACCTCAACGAAGCTCTTTGCAGCATTCACGATTGCTTGTTGAAAGCTACCGCTACCATGAAGGTGAGTCAATTTAAGTGTTCCGCTCAGGGTTTAGGATGCAATTGGCTTCGAAAAGTAGGCAGCGTTCAGAGTTAGCGATCGTACGTGCGATTAGGTGATGGATCAAGAATAAAATCTATGTATCGATTAGGCGAGTATGCAAGTAAGCGGCTGAGCGACTAGGCGAGTAGGCGCCTAATCGATACGTATCCCTTCCCTTATATGCTGATGTCAGACATTGCGAATCGAGCGATTCGCTGCCTCATACGCTACCGCGAACCTCGATTCGCGAAGTCTGACCTCCGGACGGAGAAGCTTCCCTCACTGATTCTTTACAAACTCTCAGCTTCCTATTTCTTACAAAAAGTAGCATATAGTTCTACTAGATCTGAGGTTACGCTTCAGTTTTTGCCGAATTCGCCTTAAAACTTGATTATAGGTAGTAGCTCGTTGTATGAGTTATAGCGAAATTATACCAATTCCGTATCAGCCGTATCTCCATTACAAAATATATTTGCAAGTTACCTTCTTCAGCGATTACCGGAGCATTTGACTCCCACTGACTTCTACCACGGATTGCGCCCTTTTCTACAGGGATATAAGGCTCTCAGTCCTCATGAAATAGTATTTGAAGGTTGTTTCTATTTTTCCTTCTCATCGGATCCTTTGTATCATATTCTTTTGCATTTATTGCAATTATTATTATTATTTTTCGTTGCCATCGGAAAAGTAATACATTCATGGTATGCTGGTGGATGGCGGACTTTAGGTACGAAAAGGTAGATCATCATAAGCTGGGGCTTATCTTATACCTTCCCATCACCTGGCGAAGGGCCATGACAACGGTGAAGGACTCGAAACTCACCTTGAAGTTCAGACAAATGCGTACGCATCGTGTGCGATCGCAGGAACGCCGATCAGTGGAGATGTCCAACGATGGCACAAGGGGAGTAGGTTTCTCTCACCGAGGAAGGACAAAAAATAGTCCCTGACCTTCTCACACTCCTTCTACCAGGAAAACTTCCTGTCTGCTATGCATGGTTGCGATCTATTCGCCCAATGGGGTGGGGACGTTCTGTCCACGACAAGTCCCTTGTGCTACCTGAAGGCACACACCCGTAATGTCAACAGTTTGAGCATTTTGCCAATACAGCCAATAATTCAGTCATTTATTCAATACGGATTTTCTTTATAGGAATGGAGGAACTCGGACCAATGGCATATTGCGGAGCTAGCGCAGCACAGAGCTCAACAATACAGTTGATAGATGCGTTCCTAAAAGTTGAACATTCAGGTTTGTATTTGAACATTTTTCGAAGACAGTTCGTTTATAAAAAAATCAAATCTCACTGGTAGTCGAAGGTGTGCGTAGAGATTTTCCTCGGCGCAGACGGCAAGAGCGTAGTAAAAGGAAACTCGTTGGTTTTCTCGCCATTTTCAAAAAAAAAATCTTCATTTACTTACGTTAGAGCGCGGATGGTACCTGCTGGGTACCTGACAGGGGCCCGTGGCACGGCGAGAAGATAGAGGCGCAAACGGGTCCGCGGACGAGTCACAGTGCGTATTCTGCAATGTGGGACGTATACTACATCCCATTTAACTGGAGTGTGGCTCATGATCAGCGGTAGACTTGAGCTTCTCGCAGCGAGACCGAAAAAGTCGCTTTCTGTCCAAGTGAACCATAGCCGACACAGTACGCGCTGCGACTCGTCCGCAGACGCTTCTGCGTCTCTGCCTTCACGCCGCCGACGGGCCTACTGTATCTGCTCGTACGGAAACTAGGGAACCTTACCTGTACCCGTATCTACTTGTAAAACATCCTAGTCGCGCTTGCCGCAGCTATG